TCACTTGCTTCCCGGTGGATACGACCTGTTCTCACCCATTTACTACGTCAGTAGTTGTTTGAGAAACGGTAAAAATTATAAATGTTTAAATTGGTCTTCTGGAGTGTTTAACGATGTGCTACGGATAACACCAGTGTCCTTACAAACATCAGGTACAAACAATCATGGCTTCCCTAAGGCGATTAAGCATCTTGCCCTACGAAGGCTACAACTAGGGGTGTCAATTGGATTAGATTTGGTTCAATCCAATCCAATCCAATGTGAAACCATTATAAATGAACCAGGTCCAATCCAATCCAATGAATGTTTTGGACCAATTTAGACCGGTCCAATTTAATGTTTGGACCGTCCAATCTATTCAAATTCACTTTGATTTAGATTGGTTTCAATCCAAACCCTATCCATTGATATATATATATTCTTATCTTATTCAACGGACCATATATTGACTTAATCCAACCCAATCCAATATAAATTTAATATGGATGGACCAGGTCCAATCCAATCTAATAAACATTTTGGATCGGAATGGTCCAAACGAAGTCTTGTTGGTCCATTCAATCCATCCAAATTGATTTTGGACTGGACAGGGTCCAATCCCAAACTGGTCCTTTGACACCCTTAGCTACAACAAGGTCCCATTTAGTCTCCATGAGATCAACACTAGTGGGATTACGAGGTTTTTCTTGTGTGGGGTTTTCTATAAGACAAATCTTTCACACTCGCAAGGTTACCTCTTCATATCATGCCCGCAATGTAAGCATATATCTAGATCTCACTCCTCTAAAGTTCTCTTTGCCACGAGGTCCTCTACTACCATACCTCATTCGGTTTGGTGACCTTGTGCTCTTGCCAATACAATACTATGAGGTTACCTTTGACTAGTTTCTACGAAATCACTTTCTTGTAGGCTATGTTTGTTTTGAAGGAAAATGCAGGGAAAGGAAGGAAAAGGCAGGGAAACCTTTACAAACCTTGTATAGGTTTCTTTGACTTTTCCTTCCTATCCCTACCATTTCCTTCAAACCAAATATAGCTATAGTGTCTAATGCAAAGTTGTACGAGACACTCATATTATCGTGTGATATTGCCTTTATTCACGTTTCTAGTCAACTAGTAAAAGTGCACCCGCATTGCGCATGGCAATATCAAATGATGATAATTAAGACATTAATTCATTTTTTTCTCTTTGTATTTTAGCCATTTTTACCTTTACTAACAATAATTCTTATTTTTCAAACATATTTTTGTTTAATATGAAGAATATATAATATTAATGCATATTCAAATTTTTTTATAAAATTTATAAAAAATTCTATATTTTTATTTTTTATTATTTAATTTATGAGATAATAAAAATTACTTATTTACCAAGAGGAAATGCGATTGCAGTATATTGTTTGAATATTTGTTTTTAATATTGTGGTCAAATCAATTATATATGTATACCATTTATATATAATATATGTTATTTATTATTTATTTATAAATGTATTATTTATATTGCATTTTTGTAAACTTCTTATATGGTGAAAATAGTTGAAAAATACTTATATTTTTTATTTTCCTTTATTTCAACTATTATATTTTCTTTTCCTTTTAATAATTTATAATTTTTTAAATTAAATTGGATTGTATCAGATTCAGATATCCAACATCTTGATCGGATTCAAATTTGAATCAATATTTATCAGATCCGATAAGATCTTTAGATCTAATCGAATTCAAATATACCCTAATTCAAATTTGATCTGATCTGTTTGCATCCCTACCAAACCACTTTCCTACAATGACCTAGCTAATTAAATCATTGAACCATTTAACATGGTTAGTGGGGTCATGTGTTAGACATTAATGTTCCTTATTTTTCATCCAATTTCTATCATTAATGAAAATAATTCTCATTAATCATAGTTTTTTATATGATGAATATATAATATTATAGAATGTACCCAAAATTATCTACAAATTTCTACATTTTCTATAATTTTATGTATTTTATTATATAATAATAACATCATGTGTTGATCCATTTGACATGGATAATTGAACCACTAACCCACCACTTGGATGGAAAAACCATTTTTTTTCTTTTTCGATTGATTTTAAATTATGTATTACATTTTCATCATCAATAAAAGTAATTCTTATTTTTGCATTTATTTTTGCACATGGCAATATCAAATGATGATGATAATAATAATCAGCAACCAAATGACCTTACTAGTTGAATCGTAAACCTATTTAACCAAAAAAATGGACTATGATTAAGACACTAATTCATTTTTTTTCTTTGTATTTTAGCCATTTCTGTCTTTACTAACAATAATTATTATTTTTTCAAATATATTTTTGTTTAATATGAAGAATATATAATATTAATGTATGCTCAATTTTTTTGATAAAAAATCTATATTTTTTTTATTATTTAATTTATGAGATAATAAAAATTACTTATTTAGCAAGAGGAAATGCAATTCCAATATATTTTTTGAACATTGGTTTTTAATATTGTTGTCAAATCAATTATTTATATATATAGTATTTGTATATAATATATATGCTATGTGTTATTTATATATAAATATGTTATCTATATTGCATTTTTGTAAACTTTTTATATGATGGAAATAGTTAAATACTTTTATATATGTATTTCAACTATTATATTTTCTTTTTCTTTTAATATTTTTTTTTGTTTTAAATAAATCAGATCATATCATACTCGTATATCCGACATCTTGATCAAATTTGGATTTGAATCAATATTTTTATGAAATCCGATCGAATCTTTGGATCAGATCATATTTGAACACAAATCTGATCTAATATGTTTGCATCCCTACCAAACCACTTGCCTATGATGACCTACCTAATTGAATTATTGAACCATTGGACATGGTTAGTTGGGTCATGTGTTAGACATTAATGCGCTTTATTTTTATTCTAATTTTTATCCCATTTCTTTCATTAATGAAAATGATTCTCATTAATCACACATTTTTAGATGATGAATATATAATATTATAGAATGTACCCAAAATTATCAATAAATTTCTACATTTTCTAGAATTTTATGTATTTTATTATTTAATAATAACATTATGTGTTGATCCATTTGACATGGATAGTTTAACCACTAACCCACCACTTGGATGGAAAAACCATTTTGCTTTTTCGATTAATTTAAAATCATGTATTCCATTTTCATCATCGACAAAAGTAATTCTTATTTTCACATTTATTTTGTTTAATATGATGAATATATAACAATAGAACTGTATCAATATATATATATATATATATATATATATATATATANTTAGATCATTGACCTACTTACCATCTAGATATGGAAATGGTTTCATTTTCAAATTGGTTTTAAATTTTGCATTTCATTTATATCATTGATAAAATAATTATTATTTAYCATWYTTATTTTTGTTTATATTATTAGTATATAATATTATAGATGTGTCCAAAATTGTTTTATATTTTTTTGTACTATTCTATTTTAAAAAATTATTTTTAATTATACATCATGAGCTAACATATTTGACCTGAAAGGTTGAACCACTAACCCACCCCTAGATAGGAAGATGGTTTAATTTCCCATTGGTTCTAAGTTGTATATTTGATGTCCATCATTAATAAAAGTATGTCTATTTTATCATATTTATTTTTTAATGACAAATATATAATAATAGAAATGTGTCCAATTTTTTTCCAAATTTCTTTTTTCTATATTTTTTGCATTTTTTATATTTCTAAATTTGCATTATTTACTTGTGACATCATGAAATTATCCATTTGACCCAAATGGTTGAAATACTTACCCACGACCTAGATGGAAAATATGATTTCATTTCTAGGTTTATTTTAAAAATATAAAATTACATTCTATTAATAATTATTGTGTATAGATTTATTAGTGGAATTTAATAATGATAAACAAAAGTATAAATGTTGGATTCAGTGAGAGAGAATGTGATTTATTTAATGACTTAAATGTAAGACTTAATGAGAGGTAATTAAATTTACTTAATGGTATTCTTTTAATTACATTTTCTGCCCTTTCAATGGAGATGAATTAAATTCAAGAGAAGGGGTATTTTAGTAAAGAAATTTTCCAGAAGCCAATACCTCCTAGGGATGGCAATTTTCCCCATTTCCCCGATCTGCCCCGAATGGGGCGGGGATGGGGATGAATTTCCCCCTACGGGGATGGGGATGGGGAAATTTTCATCCCCATTAGCGGGGACAGGGAGAGCAATCCCCGCTCCGCGGGGACCCCGATCCCCGCCCTGTGGGATCCCCACTAATATATATGCATATATGTATATATGCACACATACATCTATATATTAGTATTTTTTAAAATATGGTTGAATATATTTGAATCTTTTTTAATAGGATCATAAATTTTAATTATTTTATTTTTATGTTTTTAAATAAAATAAAAATCAAAAACAAAATGGTTAATATTATAAAAAATCACGGGGAATGGGAATTCTCGCAGGGATGGGGATGGGATGCAGATAACCTTATCCCCTTAATGGGGACGGGGACGGGGATGGAGATGGGGATGGGGAGAGGCTCCCCGTCCCTGCCCCGCCCCGTTGCCATTCCTAATACCTCCTCATTCACACTTTTATAAGTAGTATAAATAGATAGATGTATATTGTTTTTTGAGATTTCCTCAATGAATACAATTCCAACTATTATCAATAAAAAATAATTACTGAAAATGATCAAATCTAGATTTTATTTGAAAAGAATAAATTCAAATTAAATGGTTAATTAAAATCAGACTATGAAGTTTATAGCATAGATGTGTTTCAAAACCAATAAATTATATATATATCACCTATTATTCTTCCTTTATCTGCAAAATCTCATTTAAAATTTTCTTGCACACATGGACCATTTTGGAACCGAGTAATCCATAGTAACAAAAAGGAATTTTGTAACAAATATTCCCAGCATTGTTGAGCAAAATGCTTCCGGCATCAAAAGACTTCTAATTACATATAAAGAATTCATTCGTACTCTCTATACATGCAATGTCCTCAAAAGTATAACCATTCCCATCCCCAAATGCTAGCTGACAAGAAGGGGTGAGTAACCAAAAAGGTCAAGGGAAAAGAGCAAAATAAGCAAGAGAAGAAACTCATTCACAGAGGATGACAATTGACCAGGACCAATCTAGTAAGATAACTCTAATCAAGCATTACAGGAAGCGAAACAGAGCAACTGTGCTTGATCAGCAATTGAAACCATGGCAAATAGACAAGACGATGATGAGAACCAAAGCGACGAAAATACCCAAAACAATAAGCTTTATCTTCATGTTCTCCCACCACATCTTCCTCTTTAATTTGGTTCCTTGCTGCCGGAAATCTTGTGCCTGAAACAATGATAAAAAAATGTATATAGATATCACTCATTGTACAAACAGAAGAAAATATGTACAGGGATGAGAGAAAATATGAGAAAAGGGATGGCATGAAGATCAGAGCTAGGATAAAATCCATAATCCTCATCTGGGAAATGGAAATAATCTCCATATTTTTGTCAGTAGTGTTCACTTAGGCTGAGTTTGGAAAGAATACAAATGCAAATATGTACTGTGCAAATACATACAAAATAATGCAAAATATAAGGTTTTGCACTCTACATATTTGCATTTGTACTCCTTCCAAACTGAGCCTTAGGAATACAATCCAAATGAAACAAAAAATAGGTTCTGGTCAAATTCCAACATTAAACATTTCACCAGCTATCAAGTCACTGTTAATACATGGCAAATGCTTCAACTAACCTGCGACCTGAGGTTCTCTGTTTTGTCCACCAGAAGCTCTATTTTCTCACCTCGGTCAAGAACCTGTACATGATAAGATTCTTAATTAAGCATTCAACACATCCCAAACCATGAAACAGCATTTTTTTTTTCAATTGGAAAAAGCAGTGCAAATTATGTTCCAACTAATCTCTGACTGAAGCATGATAATGATATTTAGCAGCAATGTGGAAAAATCAGGTGAACAGAAGAACTTTTCAGGAGAAAAAGAAAAAATTACAAGAAATTATTTTGACTTGCCTTCTCAATATTTTCCATCATCACTCCCTTAACTTCTGTAACCTGGGCCTTCACTTTTGCTAGCTTACTTATCTCTTCTGGATGATCAACACAGTATTGCATGTGCTGCTTGAGTTTTGGCCTAATGACATTGATGAAGAAGTATTGTCATTTCTATCATATAATCCCTTGATAACAAATATTGTCAAAAGGCTAGAGATAAGCAGAATACCCAAACTCCTTGTTCAGACTTTTGGCTGAAGCAGTAGTACCCTTTCCTCCTCCATATCTCTTGCTGAAATCATCCTTCACTCGTTCAAGAAAGGCAATGGGAATTTGTCTGCCAGCAGACTCAACTGCCACCACACAGTAAGCTGCAGGATCCAAGACAATAAAAATCAGAACTATGCAATGGTCAAGGAAAAATTTATAGTAATCAAATATTAAAATACTGCTCAAATGAGCACTCCTACATCACATCAATAAACAACTAAATTAGTAGAACAAAATAGATACTAAAACTGATAATTCAGCTTCTTATTACTTCAGGACCCCCATCCTCAGGACAAGTCATGACCATTACAGATCTTACGACATTGTTATTAGGCTAAGGAAATGGCTCCTCCCTAAGTTCAAATAAAGATATTTGATAAATGGCTCCTCCCTAAGTTGTCTAAGAGGAACTGACATCCCAAAGTATATAATATACAAGTCCTACTACATTGATAGTTGACTTAAGAAACTGTGTGCATCTGGATCTCCATTCTTTTCTTGCACTTCCATTCAGTCTGTGACAACTGACAAGTATCTCCTTATACAAGTAAAAATACCCATACCTATGAGAAGACACATGTTACACTGAATACAAGTCTAGTAAAAAAGTGTAGGAGTTCCAGACCTTTATCACGCTTCCCAGACCCTACAGGCTACATCTTCAGATTGTTATTATAGATATAACTAGCTCAAAATATTTAAATTCTGAGACAATCTTTGGAAACTGCCATCTCAAATTACAAATACCAATTGAACCTCTGTTTCCAAATGTTGAATTCCAAATCCAGGACGTCCATTGGTCTGACCCATATTTACCTAATTTGTTTGATGACTCATAAATCAGGATTAGATTGTAAATCAGTACTTGTTAGATTTTGGAATGAGAAATGTTTGAAATAAATAAATTAGATTGTAAACCAGGATTATATTAAAGAAACTGCTTGAAATAAGACATCTAACACACTTAGATTCCTATTACATGCATAACTACTCATGTAGATTTTTTTGTGTGAAATACAAAAATATCCCCTGAGGTTTTTGACAATTATAAAAACCTCCCCTGTAGTATTGAAAAAACCTGTAGTTACCTCCTTTTCCTAATGCGTTAGTTTTTCAAAAGTATCCATTTTATCCTTATATCTATCAATTCAGATGGAAATTTATTAAAATACCCCTAAAAGAATTTTTCACTTTTAATTAAAAAATCCTTGAGTTAGATTGAAAAGAATAAAGTAATTTTACTCTATAAAAACTTTAGGTCTAGTGAAGTTTAGAAGGAAAAATCTAGCATTTTGAGTTATATTGAAAGATTCCCTACTAAGCTATAAGAGTAATTTCGTAACTTTGAAGTCTTCATTACTGAAACAAAGATGGACAGGAGATAATTACAGGTTTTTGTGAAACAGGAGAGGTTTTTGGGAAAATGAAACCTCAGAGGAGGTTTTTATGATTGAAAAGCATAGCAAATTAGTTAATCAACTAACACTCCAATAACAATTGAACCAGATTAATATGAACGTAGTAGTGAGTCATGAAGTACAAAACTAACTCAAACTAGCGATAAACTATAACATTTTGTGTCACGAAGATGTAGTTTAAACCAGAAAACTAATCGCCGCTTGATTAAAACGCCTGAATAGCAATTCATATCGAAAAAGATAAACATTTACTGTTCATGACAGAAGCTGCAAGCATTATCCTTCATCGATTACAATTATCCAAAGATGATCAGATGCTTTGGACATCAAAAACTTCTTTCCAGAATGGTCAACAATTCAGACACTTAAGAGCAATATAAGGTGCACTGAAACAGGAAAAAGAAAACTAATAACAATCAATGATTGAAATGTCGATATGCTTGATATGGGGTGTCTGAATTCTTGCGATAATAAGTGAAATATATTATAACTTTTATTAACTTTTGTGTCTACATGCAATCCAAATAAATAAAATATATTTATATTGAACAATTCTAACTAAAATAAAAAGAATAATATTCAAATTTGATATTTTATAAACTGATGAAATAAATAGTACATCCAATCCACATTTATATTTAAAAATGATTTTTAATCTCAACAAAATTATACACTAATTATTAATAATAGAATTATTATTTTATAACTTAAAATTTATAAATTTTCCTTGATAAGTGTCTTAAAATTTTTATATATTTTTATAAATTATTATTTTAGTTTACATTAAATAACAACATATTTATTATTGGGTCATTCGCTAAAGCGCCCTCTATAGTTTCATTGATTTACACAAACCTACCCTTTAGTTTTTGTTTTATTAAAACACCCCTATAATCATTTTACTTAATTGACTTTTCATTAGATAACAGAGGATGGTGGTAGTTTTGACCCTAACATCCATTTGAATAAATTAATGAAAGGAAAATAAAAATGAGAGTACCATTTTTGCCGCTAGTAAGACATGAGCAACCATTCTATTTGGCTCTATTTGGTTGATTTTGTTTTCTATAGAAAGAAGTGTTAAGGGTAATTTTGGAAATAAACAATCATGGGCCCATGTCATTAAACATTTTTCATTTAGTTTAGGTGATCATGTTACTATTTTCAAATGGCAAAACAAACACTTCTTAGTGAAAGTCAAAATAGGTTGCAAACTATAGGGGGTGTTTTAGTAAATGACCATTTATTATTCACAAGAAACAAAAATATTGTTCACAAAATATTTGAGAATATAATATTAAATTGGATATATCAAATACACTAATCAAAATCTATATCAAAAAATGTTTTTATTTCAGAAAAAATTATAGAAATAAAATATTAATAACGGAATAATTATTTTAGTTATTAAAAATTATGAATTTGCATATGATGTATAAGAAAGTGGATTTATATAGTGCATTAACATAGTCGATCCGGTGTAAACCCAAGTTAGATTGAACTGGTTCAAACTGATTGATCACTTAATTTGCATCAATTTAAATACCATAGCTTTCTAGAATAATAACTGAAGGACAAAATACGAAAAGACAAGATATAGGAAGATTCTAGAAAGTGGGAGGTCCAAAACATTATAAATAGGGGCCCATATCCATATAGGATCCATTATTAAGACCTTTATCAAACCCATTATGAAGGAGTAACCCATACTTTCTCTCTCCTCTTTTCCTCTCTCCTGGCAATCACCGACCCCTCCCATTGTCGTTCTCCTCTAGACCTTCGGAGGCTTGACCACCACTACCTTATCACACTTTGCAGGCTTACAAATAATTGAATTTTTTGTAACCCATATTTTAGATGAATTTTTTGTTGATGATAAAAAGTAAAAATAGTATAATAAAAAATAATTGATATAATAATTGCATATATTTTGTGCCTTGGATTTAAATAGAAAAAACAAAATAATGGCCATGTGAATGTATTAATTTGTAAAAATGTATATAACATGTGTATCGGACACTTGATTGATGAATCAATAAAATTATATGAGATTTATGCATCCTGATATATTAATATATCATTAAAATTCACATTTCTTATGTATTTATATATTATTTGTGGATATTTTAACTTTAAATTTAGTGTTATTAATATATCTATGAAATTTGTATGTATTTCCCTAATATATCCAAATATTTCCATATTTTTCATCTATATCCATGCATTTATAAGACATATTCATATTAATATCAACATACAAGTTGTCTAATATAATACCCAATATGTTATAACAACAATAACCAGCTTAATAACAACCATCGTTTGTTCTCCTCATTCGGATGTAAACTTCGTGTGGTGTAACCTCTTCCATGCTTTATATATCAATAACAAATGAGCATAAATGGATAAGTTAATGCATCTTCAACAATCTACGTCTAATTATCTTTACAGGATGTTTTGTTGACTTAGTCCACCAGTCAGAATGTCAGAAAAATAATCCCAATTCCGAAGGCGACGATATTGAAAACGACGTAAACAGAAAAGAGCAATGGATCTAAACCAGATTATTGTAGTCCTCCTTCAGATTAACAATATCAAAGACACCGGGAATGCACATAAACAGTGAATTCAATGAGCTACGTAATAAAAATTATCCAAATCAACCAGAACATGCACCGAATGAACCAAAATCAGACGGAAAAGAGGCCTTCATCAGCAGATGAAAATTTAAATAAGTAAATAAAACAAATACTACATCTAAATCTGGCTTTAAAAAATGTTAACTCCTACGACGAAAGGACAGATCATCAACAAGGAAATATAAAAATCAAGCAAACCAAACATGAATCACACGGGAAACATATCAAAAGGAATAAGGAAAAAAGAAGAAAAAATCTATATGAAAATAAAGAAGAGAACATCCAAATATCATTAGACTTACTGAAACCATTTTCAACGAGATAGTTGAATGTGTGGTTATCGCAGTTGTACGTAAACTTGTTGTTGCTGGCGGGGAGCTTTTGAAGACATTGAGAAGCGACGCTGGTGAAATTCCCTTTGAACTCGGTGTATTCGGCGAGGATCACCGTTCCTCGAGCCACAAAGCTGTAGATCAAAGACTGTTGCCCCATCTCGCAACTCCTAACGCAGCAGGAGTTTCAGAGAGAGAGAGAGAAGGATGTCAGAGACGAAGATAGAGAGAGGAAGAGAGAAAGAGAAAAGAGGGGGATGAGGGGGATGAGGGAGGGAGAGAGATGAAGAGAGACGATCGGAGAAGGACGGGTTGGAGCGAAATGTTCGCCGAGATAGGAGAATTATTTTTATATAGAAAAATGTTTTGTTTAAAATGGATTGGAGCGTGAGGACAAAATGCTCCTTTTCTTCCATTTAGTTCAACAGCAACAATTGCCATTCTTCTTGGCATATAATTACGATAACACCATTCAGATGGTTTATCTATCGCGTGACGTGGCACCTAATCTAAATAATAAGGATTGATTAGAGAATTGCCAAGACTACAGCCAAGATGGCGTGTGGGCCTTCCCTTGCCTCGGAATTCAGATCACCATCCGATTTCATGCAGAACATTAAGTGCGGTGGGTCCCACAAAGTGTTCTTTATGAACGGTGATATGGGTCCTACATGAGAACATTCCTCATTCCTCGTCGAGGGTAACCGGGAACCTTACGACGCTTCACGCTACGTGTGTTTTGATTTTTACTTTCAGCTATGGCTATCGGATCATATCCGAATTCTGCTATTATTTTGTCGGATCCAAATATGGATATGTTATTTATTTATCTATTTATAAGTATGTTATTTGTATTGTATATTGTATTTTTTTGTAAATTTTTTATAAAATATATATAATTAAAATATTATATTTTCTTTTTTTAATAATTTATTATTTCTTTTTTAATTAAATCGGATCGGATCATATTTGGATATCCAATGCCTTTATTGGATTTGAATCCAATTCAATATTTGTGAGATCCAATTGGATTGAATTAGACCTACAGTTCATCATATCAAATTCGGATATACCTTTTTTCGAATCCAATCTGATCCATTTGCATTCCTACTAAGGTTCAAAATATCGATAAGCTGGTAGGGGTATATCGGGCTATATCGGTATTGTTTTTTTTATTTTTTTTCAAAACAGGTTTAGAGGGCCGGTTTAAGGCTCCTCCACCCTCTGAACCAGTCAAAACCCCGATACACCCTCTGTAGGGGCGTATCGGGGAGCTCTCGAAACAATACATGTCGGCCGATACAGGCTAATACGTGTCGATACTTTGAACTTTGATCCCTACTTTCAATGGATCATCATTGGGGTTAATTAGAAAAAGTCAATGGTTTAGATCAAACCTGATTGCTTTGTTCACTTAATCTAATTTTGCCCAACCAATTATTATTCATTTCTATAAATTAGTACGACAATTGTTCATTAGGTTGTGGGACCAATGATAACACCCACACCAGTCTTTTGATATATAGGGCTCACAACCATTCAACCTTTCATGTAGGCCCATGATTTTATCACCTATATGTGGGATGTTATCATTTTATCATTGGTTTCACAGCCCATTACACAACCATCCCATTCATCTAAATTAATAAGGCTACATTTGGAAATAATGCAAATGGAGTATAAGTCCCGGTTCAGGGTAAATTTGCACTTTGATTCACTTCTGACTATGTTTGGTAACATTACATTTATGCATTGACAAATGACAAACCAATGCATATTTACATTGATAATAAGATGTAAAAGTACATCAGTAAAAAATAATTAAATTTGCATTTAAGTGGGCTTTTGATAAAAAAAAAATGCATATGCTTTATTGAAATTCATGTTTGCATCCATTACAGCTAAAAGTCTGTTTGGTAAGAAGGTAAGTTTGTCAGTGCAAAACTAACCCAATTTTGCAATTTATATGAACCATTTTACACTCTACATATTTGCATTCACACTTATTTGCATTGTTTCCAAACGCAGCCTAAAATAAACCCATAATTGAACTTATTATTAATCAGGATAATCCGGTCTAATCCGATTAAACCTTATTATACCTATATCTATAATCACTTCGGCTGCATTTGTTTGAGGTGTAAATTCAAGTTTTACACCATGGAAAAAATGAATCAATTTAATGATCGGTGGAATTTAAAACCGGTTGATTTTGAAAATTTACACCTACTTTATTTGGTTGTCAAGGTATAAATTCGATGAGATGGTGCAGAGGAGGAGAAGACAATCTACAGAGGATGAGGGAAGCAGGGGAAGAAGAAGAAGAAGAAGAAAAAGAAGAGAAAAGGGGCCAACTGGACTACTTTGTTCGACGGTGACAAAAAGAGAAAAAAAGGGGGGGAAGAAGAAGAAGAGAGAAGGAGAAGAAAGAGAGAGAGAGAGAGAGAGAAGGAGAAGAAGAAGAAGAAGAAGAAGAGAGAGGAAGAAAGACCGGCTATTTTACATCGATAATTTTGATGTATATATTACATCGATCGTCGATGTAAATAAAATTCAAAATGAAATTTTACACCGATTTCCGATATAAAATTACATGTTTACCAAACGCCAGTAAAATCGAACCGGGGTGTAAAGTTTACCCCGGTTCGATTTTCCACCCCAAACAAACGTAGCCTTAATTAATATAAATGTTTATATGTTGATAAAAAAGTGTTTTAACCATAATTATTTTATATACTATCAATGAGATTAGAAAAAAATATAACAACAATTACAAAAAAAATAAACAAAAAACAAAAAAACTTGTACATATTTTAAATTACATGGTCTTAATTGGTTTGGAACACAAAAAATGGCCCCGACATAATTATAATGGAAATAAAGAAAACTTGAAATTAGAATCGGAATAAATGATTTGGTTTGACCCGACCCATTTACAGGTCCAATCAAATCAAAGGATAACATTGTCTTCTTCTTTAATTAAACAAAAGTGATAGACTAATTCCTAAATCATAGCCCATTTAATAACATGTCAAACAACACTTTGGTGGGCCCATACAACTAGGGGTGTCAATTGGACTGGATTTGGTCCAATTTGATCCAGTCCAATGTGAGTTCATTACAAATGGATTAGGTCTAATTCAATTCATAAATATTTTGGATCATTTTGGATCCATCCAATTCAATGTTTGGATCATTCAATCTGTTCAAATTTATTTTAATTTAGATTGATTCAACTTAAATTCAGTTCATTAACACCTATATTCTTATTGCATATTAATTAACTATATATTAGCTTAATCCAACCTAACATAATATAAATTTATTATAGACAGATCAGGTCCAATCCAATTTAATAAATATTTTGGATCAAATTGATCCAATTTAATATATCTTGTTGGTGTGTCCAATCCGTCCAAATTGATTTTGAGTCCATTGACACACTTACGTACAACGGCCCACTTACGCGTCGAACAATACTTCTTCTTAGTGGACCCTTTTATTTGATTAATGGACAAGAAGACATGATCAACTACTTTACTTTCCTTTTCTAATGCTGTTTCTCGGATATCATATTTTCTGGCCATCTCCTACTAGATTTTCTCTTCAGTTGCCAGCCGTGTCCTCTGCTCTCTAACCATGTACTTGACTTTTTCTATTCAAATTTGGAAAATAAAAATATTTTCTCTTCGGTTCCTTCTAAATTTTCTCTTAGCTAGGTTGCCAGCCGTGAGGGAATTCAAATAGGGTCTCTAAGGTCAATGGGCCATTATCATATATTTGTCTCATGTTATTTGTTGGTCCTAATCTCCAAGAAGACCTTAGTAGTTTGTTGATGCAATGAAATCAACCTGAGGGAATTCAAGAAATAAAAAAAATCTAATGGAAATTCTCATGGTGCTGAAAATTTACGAAAGATAATGCCCCACACCAATGCAATTTATGACTGTCATAGAATGCCTTGCGCCAATGATAATGTCCCATCCCAATCATAAATGCTAAGTTAGAGATTGAGTGATTGTGGGACATGCAATTTTTGAGTGGTGTTGGGTGTTACTATTGGTTCCACAGCTCACTTTATAGTCATTGTCAATTAGACCTGTTTATGGGTTGGGTAGTCCGATGGCCCGGCTCGGCCCACACTCCGGTTGGGCTTGGTCATGTAATTAGGCTCGTGGGTCTGATCTCGGGCCTAACACAGTAAGTCCAATTGTGTTGTGGGTCGGGCTCGGGATTTGTTAAAAAAACCCGGCCCGGCCTGACTCAACATTATATATTTTATAAAATACATAATATGTATTTTATATATAATATAAAATATATAAATAATATAATATTTATTGAAATATATATATATATATTTATTTATAATTTAATATATACATTTTTTTTATTTTTTTCTTTATAATTTCTCTCACTCTCTCCCTCTCTATTCAACCACTTCAGCAGTAGTAACAACATGGGATAAATTCCGGGCTCGGGCCCAGGCCCGGGCTTCAGGCTTTTTATGAGGGCCGGGCTCGAGCCCAAGCTGTAGGCCCGATGGTCGGGCCGGGCTCGGGCCTTAGAAAAATCTGTTAATACAGAGTGAAAGCCTGGCCCGGCCCATGAACAAGTCTATTGCCAATGTATTAAAGGTTTTCAGGTTGATGGTTCAATCGTCCGGTTCAAATGGACAGTCTATTCTGACAAAAAATAAAAATAATAATAATTAAAATAGAATAAGCGGCCAAAACCGTTGAATGGGTCGAATGGAACAACTGTTTGACTGTATAGGTCAATGAATCATTAACCAATTCAACAATTTTTTGTCAGGGACCAGGTTTGAGTAAAACAGAACCAATTATCTAAATGGTTCCCAAGCCGAACGGTCTAACCATCCAAGTCAACAGCAGTTCAAAAACACTGATCATTGCATTCAATTAATCCTATCTCGTTTTGCTACACATTAAACCTAATAGCGGTTGAAAGTGTCAACTAACCTGCTAGTAAAATCTCTAATTGGTTGCAGCGGTGACTTGAGATCAAGTCTTGTCTTCACCTGGGTTGGGAGTCCAGGGGTTATAGGGAGGCTACCCTTGTTGTATAGCTCATTTACCAGAAAACATAAAAACCTAATCAGGGGGTAGTGGTAGCAATGATGTAGATTGGCATTCACAATATAGAGATTCCGGCCTTCTATTGGTTTGAACTCATGCTTCTTGAGG